GAGAGAGAGAGAGAGAGAGAGAGAGAGAGAGAGAGAGAGAGAGAGAGAGAGAGAGAGAGAGAGAGAGAGAGAGAGAGAGAGAGAGAGAGAACACCAAACAGCTCAAAAGAGAGAGTAACATCCATCAACCAACTAGCAAATCTTCCCCCTTCTCTTCTCTCTCTTACTTCAAAACACTAGCAACTAGCTAGAACAGCAACGCGACATCCGCCACAAAACAGAAAAACAGAAAGCCACAACCACTGTTGAACCACACCCATTTCGACTTTCGACCCTGACCCCAATTAGGAGAGAAGAAGGGTGCTTCCCGTAAATTTTTGGAACGAGGGGAAAGTGCGAATAGCAGAGCCCACTGGATCTGTTAGTGTCTTTATCTAGTGGTAAGCCCATCAGATCCGATGGTCTACAATGTTTTGCATAAATCATGATTACCCTCATGGAGTCTCTTTTTTTTTCTTTTTCCTTTTTTCCATCTCCACGTTGCAAATTGTTGTTATCTCCACCGATACGGATGAGGTGCTACCTGGCCCCACAGCAGTTTACTTACTTATTTATTTATCCATTTTTTCATTAATGTTATTTATTAAGTTATTTATCCATTTTTTCATCAATGTGATGACCCGTCAAAACATGGACTGAAACACACAGCTGATTTCTGAGTTTTGCTCATAGACTGAATGCCTTGCTGAGTTTCCCGCCTGCTACTAAGTCTGTGTGTGCACGCTTGCTGGACTGCATGTCTGTCTGAGTATTGGTTGGCTTGGGTGTGTGTGTGACCGTGCCTGTCTGAGTGCTGGTTGGCATGAGTATGTGTGTGGCCCGTCAGTGCACTTGCCCATTCGTTGGGGCCTCAGGGCCGGTACTTACCTGTGGCCGTGACATTGAGGGGTTGTGGCGGGGAAAAGCACTCGAGTAGCGGGTAGGCCGGTACCGCACCTGGAAGGGGTAGATGTGCAGGTACCGGAGGCCGAGCAGAAGAAGACAAAAGTGGCATTTTTATAGGCCCAGTAGTGTAGGCTAGGTCTAGGCGGATACCAGTCTGAGTCTAGGGCCTGTACGGGCAATATCAGAGTCTGCAATGATGTTTCCCTCCAAAAAGGAGGAGGTACCGGTTGCATGGGAGGCCAAGCGGCCTGGAAGTCACCGCCCAAGAGGCAAAGCAGGCCGCTATATCTTCGGGCCGGGCGGAGAGTCCGGCCTCTTTTTCGGTGTGCAAGTTTGGCGACACACTGGTGGAGCGCTGGCTGGAGCAGCGCTATGCTGGAGCAGCGCTGCTGGGGAGGAAGGAGAAGGACACGAGGGAGGAAGAAGGAAGGAAGGGGGAGGAGCGCCAGGGGTACTTACCTGGCTATGGTGGAAGCCATCTTCATCACCTTGGTGGGCGCTGCAGCAGGGAGTCCCCAACTGGGGAGAGCCACACCAAGAAGCTTCAAAGCAGGGTTGGACATGGCGGCCTGAGCCAGAGCAGCCGTAGCTGCTTTGGGTTGTCCTTTGGGCATCCGGGCAAGGCCTAGTAGTCCGCCATAGCCTAGGCCTATGAGAGTGAAGAGTGGGGGAGGCGGCCATGGCTATGGTGGACCTCAAGTGATRCCTGCAGTAGAAGAGGGACTCGGACATTGATTCTGGATCAGCCATTCAACATTGTATTATTATTTCTTGTATGAATAAGAGAAGGGGGAGATAAGGAAGAGGAGATTGTTGGGCGAAGAAGAAGAGCCTCGTCATTTGCCTTTGCTGGTGTACATCATCTTCTTCTTCCTTCTTACTTCTTCTTCTTCTTCTTCTTCTTCTTCTAATCCTCTCTCTCCTCTCAAGTTCATTCATTTCTTTCTGCAATTGGACGGCATTGTACTTTCTGATGGATGTGTATCTTGAAATTGGAAAGGATCATAACATCAATGTTATGTATTTACTTATGCGAGGCTCAAGGCGTCGATCTGCCCTACTGGGCCCTATTATCTGTACAGTCGGCCGCCCTAAGTGAAGGCAGGCTCGACCCTGGGCCTACAGTCCTATTTTTGGGGTCACCGCGCAACTGGGTAAATTCAGGTAGTTGCGCAGCGTCAGTTGGTTGAGAGCGCCCAGGCCCAGGCTGCCTTTTTCGTATGTAACTGAGGCAGGCCCTGGGCCTACCGGAAGCTTCTGGGCAGGGGCCCAGCGCAGCCAGGCTTCACGAAGGCAGGCAGGCAATTTCCATTTCCATTTAGGAAAGTGCCTGCCCACGCATTCCTGATTCGGGCACAGGCTGCATGCTGCGCAAGCGCTGCTGCGCTAACGCTGGCCAGTGCTCACGGGCGAGCTGGAAGGAGCAGGCAGCCATAGCCGAGCTGCGCTGCTATATGCTGGATGGGGCGCATGGTGGTCCTTGGGTGCACGTGGCATATGTGAGTGGGGGATCGAAGTTGTGAGTGATTCGAGAGACATACCTGGTGCTTGAGGCGAACTGCATTGGCCGAGATCTGCTCGTACTTTGGGGAGCTGTTGACATCGCCAGCGGCATTGTAGATAGGCTAGATAGGATCTGCCATTTGTAGTCTGGGCGCAGAGCGCCAGATAGGATGCCGACATTGGTTCTTTGTTGATGATGATGAGACTACTCGAACATTGTCACTTGTGAGCTTTTGCTGTGCTCTTATTTGGTGGGATTCGTGTTGCAATTCTGCTTTTGGTTCGAGGTCACGACTATCTGGTCTCATGTGTATGATGCTGCTTGGTTTCTGAAGTTCGCTATCGCTCATTTTCCTTGCACTTATTAAAATTATTTAAAATTATTTATCCATTTTTCATTAATTTATGTCAAATTTTCAGTATTTTTACTGTATTTGTTTATTTACTCAGTTATCGAGTTATTTGTTTATTTTCTCGTATGTATGATTCTACAACTCCTCAAAAGCGAAAGACGGATCTCGCCTGCCCCTGCCCCATGAGACCTGGGAACCCTTGGGAATTAGTAATTACCTGTCGAAGGCTGAAGCCCTGCTTGTCGATCGACTGGCCACCAACAATCGACACAACCCGGAAGTCCTGTGAAGGAAAGTTGCCAAAAATGGAAAGAAATAGTTGTCAAAAAAAGACGAAAGGAAACAATGCAGACCACCCAACAGAAAGAAAGAAAGAAAGAAAGAGAGAGAGAAAGAACGCAAGAAAGAGAAACAAGCCCGAGGTAACAGACAAGTGCTTCACAAATAAACCACTTGTGTTATTTAATACTCAATAAAATAAAGTTTAAAAAACTTAATACTAACTATTAATATTAATTCAATAATAACTTAATAAGTTAGTAACAATTTATTCATGGTACAGGAAAGTGAAAAGGTGAAAAACAAGATGAAGATGAAGAAACGAGGTAGCCTCAAGCCACCACGCGCAGCTCACACCACATGCGAACATGAGAAACCAAAATGTTTTTTGTTTCTTTTTTTTCAACGTGTTCAAATAGCTGACATTGCCTGACAATATGAAAATCTCCGGACAGAAAAACATTCATTAACTCATAGGAAGCCAAGTTAGGCTTTAGTTAGCCAAACCCAAAAGGTTCGTTTGTTGTTTCGTTTTTTTTTTTTTTAACAAGAAACAGAACCTTACGGTTCTGGCTCGTTTGTTGTTTCCTGATCTAGTGAGCAAAATTTTGCAAAGTGATAAGGAGCTATAAACTAGTATAAAGTCATAAAACTTATTAAAAAGTAATAATAACAAACTCTTGTCCATAATGAGATAGATAGGAGTTACACGACCGATGTCTGATCAACTTACTCCGGCAGAGAGTCATGGTCCCCAAAAAAAGTGAGGTAGGATGGGGGGGGAGTGCGGGTGCACCAGGTAATATCCAGAAGAGGAAGGGTGGGGTCTCGTGAGGGATTGGGCACAAGAACACCCACTTTAAAATAAAAAAAAAAAAAAAAAAAAAAGACATCGATTGCACAGACTTGCACCCCACCGGTGCAGCTGACTGGTACACACACCACATGTACCTGTGAGTAGTAAAGCTAAGTAAACACGCAGTGAGGTCAGATCGGTATGGAATCAGATAAAAATGAAATGTCAGGGGCGACCCCCTTCAAAATAAAAAAAATAAAAAAAATAAAAAAATAAAAATAAAAAACTTTTCAAAAGAAAACACTTACAAAACTTTTGCAAACTTCAAAAAGGGGACATAGTTAAAACAAAAAAGAAAAAGAACTTCTGCACACTTGAAAAAAGAACTTCAAAAAAGAACTTCTGCACACTTGAAAAAAAGTCACAAAAGCGGTTACAAAACTTTTTTTATGACATGCAAACTTGCAAAGTACATTATGACATTCCCAATTCTGCCGTATGGAGCACGGTCAGACTGACAACCAGCCCAGAGTGAACAGGTGGGAAGGGGGTAGAAGAAAAGAAAAACCTTGAACTTCCCCCCCCCCAAAACAAAAAGCGTTTACACTTTAAACTTCAAAACTCCAACAAAAATTTGAAAAACAGATCCAGAGGCCTCAAGCGGTCATCTTATAATTAAAAAAAAAAAAAAAAAAAAAAAAAAACTGGAAAAAGATGGCTTTGCATGAGTTAGAGGGTCATTTACCAAATACTGGGCAAACTTGACAGTCTCCTCTTCAATCTGTTGCGCCAGCTCACGTGTCGGCGCCATCACTACTGCATATGGCCCTGTGCAATGCAATCCAACAACAATGCTTCAGCAGCTGAGGGGTCCGGCAATGATTCAAGTTGTTGAATCACAGACCCACATAGTCGACCAACCATATATATCAGTCCAGGCATGACAAAAACCTCAAACAATCAACCCAAGTTCTGCGGCTTTCAACCAGTTCAGTTAGCGAGGGGGGGGGGGGGGGGGGGGGGGGGGGGGGGGGGGGGGGGGGGGGGGGGGGGGCGGGAGGCGGGGGGTAAGGTGGGGGGTAAATAGGAAAGCTTGGAAAAGGGAAAAGGTCAGAACATAGATCCAATGGAGACAAAAAAGAGGAGAAGGGAAAAGGTCAGAAAATAGGTTCAAGGGTCCTGAGGACCCCTCACAGTGTTACAAATTGATCAGCGGTCATCAGGACCCCTCAAAGTGTGTCAGATCGTTCAGGGGTCCTCAAGACCCCTCACAGTGTGTCGTGTTGTTCTGAGGGGGTCCTCAGGACCCCTCACAGTTTGTCAAATTGTTGCGAGCGGGTACTCAGAACCCCTCACAGTGTTTCAAATTGTTCTGAGGGGTCCCTCAGGACCCCTTACAGAGTGTCAAATTGTCCTGACGGGGTCAGGACCCCTTACTGAAACGGTTTTCACCTTCTTGTAGGCACAGATGCGGGCACCAGGATTCGATCCCCAGACCTCACTTTGCCCATGTACGGTATCGAGTCGAACCCCAAGTGTTTGAACGCCTGACCTGTGTTTTGGTAGTTGTGTGTGGTCTGTCGTAGGTCTGTGTTGTGGTACGGGTTCGATCTGTAGGTCTGTCGAGTAGGAGTCACAGCTCTGTAGAGGTTGTGGCTGTAGATGTTCTGAAAGGTCAAGGTCGTAGCTGCTACCGTATTCGAGAGGCCAAGTCCACAGACTTCCAGAAGGTCCGGCAGTGGCCTTTCGAAGTTGCTTCACGTTTAGCCAGAGGCAAGTGGGCAAGTGGTGAGCCAACTGCGTTGAATTGGCAGTGTAACTGCATTACGTCGGCAGTGCAACTGCATTGCGTTGGCAGTGCAAACCCATGCAGTCAACGGTACCGGTCCCAGTCACTCATAGTCCAGTCAAGCAAGTACCGTGTGGGACTGTGTGCACCAAGGGCCTGGGAAAAGGGACCAGACCAACGAGTTACAGAAGTATTAATCAAGAGGCAGCGCCCGGCCATTCATTTATTCGCTGCGTAATCCATGCGGAAGCGCTGCTACAGCGTCTTGTGCGTAGGTGGTCTGCAGGTTGTCCAAAGACAAAGTGGGCTGAAGAGCGAGATTGTAGACATGGCGGTAGAGGCGAGCGGCTATAGCCGCCGGAGGTAGAGGTAGCCGATAGTGTGTGTGTGTGCGAGACTTCGAGTGAAGGTGTGTGGCGGTATTCAGGGTGATCCAGAGTTGAGGACAGTTGAGTGCATGCGAACAGTGGTGTTGGACGTGGTGACGAGAGTTGGGATGTCCAGGCGCTGTTGCACCATAGCCTATTGAAGTGAACTTGCATCTGAACTGTGTTCTTGTTGTCCATATCTCTGAGCTCTGAGTGGGTGCCCTGCGCCAGTGTGAATCGCCACCTGTTTGCATGTATGTGAAGTGGAGGTGAAAGCGGGTCTGATTGCATTACAGTGTGTCAAATTGTCGTGAGGGGGTACTCAGGACCCCTCGCAGCGTTTCAAATTTGTCAATAAACTGTGTTATTATCAGTCACATGTTTAACAAGGCAGACACACACAGGAAACAGGATTGATGCTCGAAGTAGAAAATAGAGTGGCTGATATCATCAGAGATATACAAAAAGTTATTTTCATTTTCTTTACACGAATCACTAATTAGTAAATAATTACAGGCCCATTTAATGTCAGTCCCAAAATATACTACACAGACTGCCACAGAGGCTAGTCGGGCAACAAGCTACAGAAGACTGAGATTGAGCTCGAGTGAAACCTAAACACCGACTCATAAGAAGCTGGAAGCCATGCTGGAGCATCGCGCCAAAAGGACTTTTCCACTTAACTTTTTTGTGCATTTGTAGTATTTGTACTCTTGTGCTGCTGGTGTATTCAATGCCATGATTGCAATCAAAAAAAAAAAAAAAGAGCTTGCGCGCATGCGCGCGCGAGAGAGAGAGAGAGAGAGCATTCTGAGGGAAGTTGCCATTATGTAGTATTTCGGTACTATTTCCAGATTTTTCTTTCTTTTTTCGTTTTTTTTGCTAGGCAAAGAGAAAGATCAGTAATGACGACGCTCTGATACAGATCCGTGACCGCTTGACTCACCTTCCGCCTCATTCTCTTCCGTCATTGGATCTAGCTTCATGATGTACGACAGCATGGGGAGAACAAAAGCAGCTGTCTTACCCGAGCCTGTACAACGACAAACACCACACAGGATCACCAAAAGAGCCGCAACAGTTCGAACCCCGCCAGGATCACCACTATAGCACCACCAAACCATAGTGTGAACTTTGAACTTCAACGTTCAAAGTTCGAAAAGCCATCACCAACACCACAGCATCAGCAAACTGTGCGCAATCTGAGAGCCCGTCAGGGACACAACAAACAGCTGCAAATTTGTGCAAATTTGGCAAAACCAATATGCGCTTTACAGAAGCCATCAGGAAACAAAACAAAAAAAGAACAGAACAGAACAGAACAGAACAGAAAACAAAACAAAACAAAACAAAACAAAACAAAACAAAACAAAACAAAACAAAACAAATGAAAAAAAAAAAAAAGTAAAGAAAAGAAAAAGAAGCGCGACAGGGTCAATGAACCACAATCTGGTGCATTAGATCCGCCCTACTGTAGCTGGCCAAAGCCCTCCTCCGTGCAAGCACGGATTCGAACCGGCGACCTTGGCCTCAGGAGCCAAGTCTCTTAACCACAGTCAGAAGTTAGAACCCATCAGCGGAAATGCGCACAGGATATCTATCACCAAACCACAGTTTTGAAATGAAGTTTTTGAACTTTTGAAGATGTCAGGAACAACACGTCTGCCAGATCTGACAATCGGTGCACAGTCTGCAGGTCAGAGACTCTGCCAGATCTAAATGGAACTAAGGTACAGAGCCTGGCGCACTGGACTGCGCACGTGGTCCTGCTCCTCCTCTGTTAAACGATGGACGCAATTTACCGAGTAGAACGCTGTGCTGCACAGAAACAAAGTTCCCTACGTAGTCACCTTCATCCGCATCTAGACAGAAATAATGTTCTACGAAACTTCTACCTAGTTACCATCCACTTACGCAAGGCACTTAAACCACCACTTCCTTTCCCAGGGCAACATTGAGAATCAAATCAAAAATTTAACATTCCAAGCTTTTTTTTCCAGAGGCCCCGGGCTACCGTACCCGATGGCTGGCGGCGCCAGCAAAAGAGTGCAAAAAAAAAAAAAAAAAAAAAAAAAAGCTGACACTTTGGCAAAGATTGGCACGCACGGGGGGGTATCCGCCTCGGCAAAAATAGGCTCAAAGGTAGTGCTGTTTTGAAACACCAACTGGGCCTGGGCCTTTTTTCAGTGCACCCTGCACAGGCGACTGCTGGCCCACACGCTAAGCGGTATATTCTCTTTACCGGGTACACAGGAAAAGATCCAGACTTCGCTTCGGACGAACTGGTTGTTTAACAAACGTAATGCCAATACCATCCATCATCCGCTATCACACACGACAACGGTCGATCATACAAACATGCATAGGAATAACAAAACAATGCCAATAGCACTATATAGTGCCCAATACCATCCGTCATCCTCATCGCGCACGCAAACGGTCGATCATACTGAATGGATTCACACAGCAAGCCTCCTACCGGTCCCTGTCTACAGAGTCCCCAATCATTGCAGTCCGCAGGCCCTACCGGTAGTTAAATCTTAGGGTTGTAGGTCTAAGCATCGTAGGTCTCCGTAGGAACAGTACTCGTAGGATCACGCCAGTCCCCAAAGGTCCAGTTTTTTGCAGCAGCCTCACAAGAAAGGCGAGAACTGGACCTTTGGGGACTGGCGTGATCCTACAGGTACTGTTCCAGCAGGGTAGAGGCAAAAGAAGGCCGGTACCGATTTAAGCAGACAGGCCCAGCCCACGAAAACAATATATTTTGGGTTGCAGTACCAGACGGCAGGCAGTTGTTCATTTCACAAATTTGTGGAGTGCTGTTGGAGCTGTGCAAACTAGCGACCTGGACAAAGAAGTGCGCTGAAGGGAGAAGACGCCCACCGCCCTGGCTGAAGGAGGCGGAAGAAGCAGAAGCAGACTTGGCGGCCATTACCGCCTGATGTTGAGATCGACACGCTGCAGAAGTATAACGTGTATATCTCGGACGTAGACCGAGGAGAGGACAGAAAGGGAGAGCACCGAGGGTGGGCAGTGCGGAGAAGGAAAAAGAAGAGC